CCCAGCGCTGAAGACTACAGCTACAGCTATGGCGCTCAGCGCCGAAGACTACAGCTAGCGCTAAATACCACCTAGCGCTGAAGACTACTGCAGCGCTCCTCCTGAGTGCTGTGGCCGAATTCCTGAAGACTACCTCGTGCCTACTGAACTACCTACCCGTGAAGTGCATGGGAACTTCCTATGTACTACGGGTGTGCCTCCTGAGCCTGCCGAAGGGAGGCAGGGGCTGCAGCTGCAGCTCCTGCTCAAACTCGTGAGGAACAGGCTATTTCTGGCCTGTTCCGCATCCCTGTTTACATGCCTGAGTCTTAGGGGCAGGTCGAAACAATGAGGGCCTGAAAATGGCCCTCCGTTTCAGGCTGAAAACTCTGGGTCTGAAAAGACCCAGAAATAGGCTGAAACGGGGTACGGCCTGCAGGCCCTCGTTTTTTCAGCATCCAGGCTGAAACGAACGGGGCCTGTAAGCCCTAAGTTTTAGGCTTTCAGGCTGAATGTCTAGGACAGGCCCTGCAGGGCCCGTGTGGCTACGCAGTATGCCACACATGGACAGTAAATCGACAATCAGTACTAAGATCCCGGTACAGACACTGTCTGTACCCTTAGGAGAGAGTAGAGCCTGAAGGGGTTCTCAGACGCGGGTTCTTCCAGAAGAAGGTTTTCTACCACTTTGCAAAAGAAAGGGGATCAGGTCTCGACCGTGGAGCTTTTGTGTACGGCATTAGGTATGTAGCTCTAGGAATCAAGCATGTTCGACCTTCTTGTCCAGTGTTTTCAGGCTACACTCTTGAGGTTGCATATTGTGGTCCTGGGTAGTGTGCATTACGAGGGGATGGATGGCGTGCTGGTTTCAGTTTCGGTTCGACAGTGACTGGGACGTTGATGCTGAGGGCTGAGCGTAATTCGGACGTGGCACCCGTGCGATGACCAAGAATTCTGTTTATATTTGCATCCAAAAAATGTCGGGCTTTTCGAGTCACAACCTTATCAATACACTGCTTCGGTGGGCTACTTGGACTACGTTGCTTTGCCCGGCATCATGTGATTGTTAGTCAGTTACTTCCCTACCAGTTGATAGGAAAAATGGACGCTACGGTGTTCATCTGCTCCATAGTTTGAGTGCCACTGAACACAACTTCCAGCCCTCCTTACTCCTGCCGACAGCACCGATGGGTGTGGTCACCACAGCCAAGTGTGCCCTCCAGGATGTGAGAAAAAGTCACAGGAAAGTGGTTCAAACTCATACCTTTGGGAACGGATAGAGACATCACATTACAGCCTACCGCCTTCACCGGGATAAGAACTCCCGGTCATTATCGCCATATCTAGACCGAACGTTGCACCGAATGCAGCTACAACGACTGGGCGCTCTATTCGGGTGAAGATGGTAGAAATAATCACCGGTAA